TTAAGCCTACATCTTTACCATGACGAACTCTATTGCTGCCATTATCCAACTGTTTTCTTGATTGAAGATGATCATCTTTGTCAGACCTCTCAGTTTCCCGAACCTTGAGTCTGTGCCTAGAATCAATTTCATCATCACGCTCCCTCTTCCTTAAGTCTTCAGTTCTACTTTTCCTGCTGCATGGATCATCATCTCTCCCTTGGGAATTGTTATCAGTAATTTCACATTCCCTTTGCCTATCAAAACCATCTGTTTTCACATGCAAATTATGTGATGAGCTAAGATCAAATTCTCTCTTGGGATAATAATTCTCCCCACCTTTAGCAACCATTTGGCTTCTTACAGCCTCATGTCTACCATCATGGTCTTTACTACGGGAACTTTGATCACTTTCATCAAGGTCTTTCTTGTACCACATGCGAGTAGAGCCTCTGTCTTGAACAACTTCATCCTCAGCACCATCTTGCCACTTCTGATAATCTCTGCTGCTGCCAGATCTTGCTTTGCTGTTTTCACTACTTCTGGCAGTCTTTGACTCCACCTCATCGAGTTCCTCAATCATTCCTTGTTCAACTTGAGAGCCTGCTTTCTGCTTCTTGAAGAAAGGAAGTGAATTTTCATCTTTAACTGTTTTGTTTGGATCTTCATCCTTGTCAATTACTGGGCTTCCATCAGCTGACACAAGCTTTTCGTCTGCAACAGTTTTACACTCCATACTCAACTCCCTGGTGTCTCTAACTGAGTTTGGAGACCTACCACCCAAGCTTTCATTTGATTCTTCCTCCTGATTATTACTGAACTTATCCTGTCTACTTCGATTATGTGTGATGTGAAGGGATCTGTCAGGTGTTCTTCCCTGTCCAATCCTGTCTCAAGGAGATATTAAATTGCTTAGTAAGGAAAAAGGTGAAGCTAGAATATACCAACAAAAGAAAGGATTGTTAAGAAATCTTTAATAACTAAACCAGTCATGATCAGCTTCCAAAATCAATTTGTATGTCACCCCAATGGAGGAAAATTTTTAGCAAATGACTCATGCAGAACTATGATTCTTATATAAACTTCAAACAGTATAAAGCAAAAAAAAAAAAAGAAAAAAAGAAAGAAAAGAAGAAGAAGATATAAATAACAAAAAAAATTTTGATTCCAGCCCTCAGCCAAACCTCTCTGAAAGTAACCAATTGGAATAAAACAGCAAACTTTGATCAAAGAACAGCATACTCCATCTCCTGTGAATTGAAAACCTATGGAATAATAGATGGACTAAATGAAGTCTCCAATTTGATCACTAAACAATCATATATATACTAACCACTTTCTCCCAAGTTGATCAACTATCAAGGTAGCCTTCATTCCCATTGAATTTCTCTTTCCTTCAAATACTAAACAAACTAATGTAAATTTATCCTTTGCCCCTTTCAACAAACTCAAGTGCTTTTCAATCATGCTTTCCAAAGCATTTGAATAGAAAGTTAAGCTGTACGTATTAATATCGCTATCCCAACAAGGAAGCATCCTCCCATTTGTCTGCAAGTTCCTTTGTGTAAATTTTATCACACTATTTCATTACTTCAGAATGAACTTGCACATTCAGATTTAAGACAAAATAATATGAGAGTACACTGCGATAAAAAGGAGTGTTAACTAGATATTTAGATTGATATTGCCAGGATAAGGGAATATCAATTCATGTTGAGATGGGCTACCTCTTTGACTCTTTAAGTAACATAGTCAAACAAAGAAGCAACATATTACTCAGGGTTAAGATTAAAAATTTATCTAAAGAGGAAAAATATCATAAATTGATCCAAGATTATTGCACACCTATCATCATGTGCAGTGCCAAAGTTTCCACTAGGATACATTGGACTCTGACCCCTAGAACCAGGACCATATTGAAGGTGTGCTTCCGCAGGGTAAGGCAAAATTCCATTGCCTTCAGGTATGTTATCATGAACAGAATTCATAAAACGCATCCTCTTTTCAACCACCTCCCTCTTTCCGCACCTATAAGCTGCTTGAAAACCATCAAAATATTCATTGCGTGCTTGTCCAATATCATCTTCAGCTTCATTATCTCCTCTAAGATCCTGTCTTGGACGATCATTTTCTGTTTTTTCTAAGATGCCATTGCCAGTGGAGGAATCATCTTCCGTAAAGTCATGGCAGACAATCTGTTTGCAAGAATGGAAGTTAATGCATTTTGCATATATGCAGTATATACATACTCAAAAAATATAGAAGGGTCAGTGACTCATTGCAATAGACAAGAGGTTCTGGTGCTAACCTCAATGATTGCATCTGAATCACGGATTCGAGGCGGTCGAGTATCAATGGATGGGAGACGTTCCCCAAAACCACCTTCAACCTGTATTGCTCTTCCAGTTGGCTGTTAAAATAAATAAATGAATAAACCATTGATCCTGGAAACTGATATTGGAAATGAGAATGGTTGGTATATCTAGAATCAGAATAGTTTTATACACTCATAAAGGCCATATCTAATTGATATTGGACGGTAAGTAAACATACTAGTGCAGGTCGGACACGAGCGGTTCCTTTTGTTACATCATTTTGCCCACCATCTGACTTGCCAAGATTTGCTTTGTCAATTGGAACCTCTTGACCAGTTGCTGCTGCCAATTCTGGGGGTAAATCTGGATCATAATCCTACAAGAAAAGCAGCAGCAGCAGCAGAACAAGAAATTTATCCCCCAAGTTCCAGTTGCAGAACCAATATCATTAATCAAGGATTAACTATGGTATTGATACATTTTTCCAGATACCCAAAAGCAGTTCATTACCTGCTCTGTTCGTCCACTTTCATATACACGAATTCTACTTTGCATGGTTGTCTCCAAGCGGCGTTGTTCCTGAAGAATTTTAGAAAAAGATCTTAGTCTCCAGTAAAATGTTAGAGAAGATCTTAAAAATAACAGTTACCAGCTGTTTGCAATAATCTTTCCAGCTCTCCTCATTCAGACCAAAATTGAAGAAGTCTGAAATATCAACACCTGAATATTTCCATGGCTTTTCCTCTAAGGTATCAATATCAACATCGAATATGGTCCTGAAATGACAAAGATGTAGAGAAAACAGTACTAATTAGACCTTACCAAACATTGAATTTGAAATTCTGAAGTATACACATGATAAAAGACAAAGATTCACAAAGAATAAAAAATAAGCAAAAATAAATAAATAAATAAATAAATAATAAAACAATTTCCTGCACCTACAGAAGCACAAAATGAGAACATCAGCACACAAACTGACAGTAGCAGGTATTTGTACATCAGAAAACAGCTAGGATGACAAATTCTTCTGTCAGCATTTAATTAATTTGAAATAACAACAAAATTGCTTGATACCAGAAATGCAATGCAATACTTGACAAAGAAAATATAGAATAACTAATACATAATAATGGTGAATCACAATTGTGTAAATCAGAAACAAGTTAGAAGCACTTTGAGCAAAGAGAACAATTACTTGTGAGAAGGAAGTGTGAATTCCATTCCACCCCCAAAACCTCGTCCCATGCTATTACCCCATGGCATTCCAAAACCAGGATGGAAGCCTTTTTGCATGGGAGGACCAGTTTTCATTCCAGCTGGTCTCCATTCACCTCTAGCACGGCCAGCCATAGGACCCATGTTGACAACTGGACGAACTTGGCCAGGCACTCCTCCAGTACCTGTGGTGGCTCCAGGCATCGGTGCTGCACCAGGTCTTACATACTGCACCAGCAATATAAATTAGCAAGATTAATTAGGAAACCCAAGAAGAACACGTAGCCTAAGCTCACAATAAGGAAGAAATACAGTCATCCAAATTAGTAACGTATAAATAGACACAATCTCTAGAAATCAAATTTCAAAAATATAACAGATAAACAGTCTTTAAGATTCTGTAGCAGGAGTTTAGTCCTCATAATCATCCAATCAAAGAAGTTATTCCACTAGCCACAAGAACTAACTCAAACTTTTCTTGACACAACTAAGATGGTTAAAATAAATTTAGCTAACTAGCGCTAGCAAATGGATTAGAATTAGAATCAATTTTTGTTGTTGTTGTTGTTCAGCTTGGTACTTGACCTTGCATTTCCAGTGTCTGTTATGTTTATAGATTACTATGTTACTCTCTGCAGTACCACGTGGGGTACCAAATGGCTGTGAACTGTTTCACTGAAGAAGTTAGCTAAATTTGATTTTCATCAAAAACCACCTATGACAAAAAATAAATAAATAAATAAATAAATAATAGTTATAATGGTAACAAAATAATAGCTCCAAACATTAACTATCATCTAGGAAAACTCCTGCCATGAAGTGGCATAAACAAATCTTATGCATTCCCACACTCCTGCATTCAGTCTGTGCAAATAGTGCACTGCAGTAGTAAGCATGCATCCTGTCAACTGCAAGAGTTTTACAATTAAACACAATCAAATACTTTTCCCCTTAAGGAAAATTTTTGGCAAGTAAAAACATATGCAAGAGAGGCAGTTGCTATGACCAAAGTTCAATCTACATCATCTCTGTTCTCAACAGTTATACCATGATAAACTGAGGAGAGAACAACACTTATGATCAAAACTGTCCCTTTGAGTTACTTATGCATTAGTTTTTGTCTTACTTTAAGTTCAGAAAAAGAACTTGTAAATTATCTGACTCTATCTAGTATCTACAGAGACTACACTCTTATTACTAGCCATATACAGCAAATTTGACCTCAAAACTAGATACTGCCTCTCATTAAGATGTAACCCTTGGACCCTACTAACTGGAAGAATCATCAAATGCTTGCAAAGAAATAACTATGTTACGGAACTTCAATGCTGGTATATATTAACTTCAAGATGGACACATCCATATGCCAAAAATTATATTGCAGGAAAAAATAGAGACAGGAATTTATCGACGAACCATCTCCATGAAAGAAATAACTATCATTTATCATTTATAAGGTACAAAAATTACAAATCATTAACTAAACTCTACTAAATTCCACATCATAGAAGGGGCAGAACACAAAAGACACCCCAATTTCTAAAACAAGATTGCCTTTTTTTTTTTTTCTTGGCCATCTAAAACAAGATTGTTCAATTGCACAATTTCTGACTGAAGGACAGCAGCAGCATATAAGACTGACCTTAAACTGAGAATGAAATGGATGATACGCATGACTGCTATAACCAATCTTGGGGACAATCACGCCTCCACCTACTCCTGAATTGGGCTTCCCCGGCTCTCCCCCCTCCTTCCTATCTCCCTCTGCTGCCTGGGCCGCCTCCTCACCCCAATCCTGCTCCTCCATCCCCTGATTCGCATCCCCATCTGCCACAATCACCAGGGGCTCGCCGTCTTCATCATCATCGTCATCTTCATCCATCACTCCCCTTTCCATAGACATGGGACCGCGGCTATTATCATTCAACACTATCTGCAAATCATCCTCACTGTCACTGTCCCAATCATCCCCTTCTCCTTCCCCACATACTTCACCGCCACCAATCGTGTTCTCCTTTCCGAGGTCGTTCCTTCCAGACTCGTCAGGATTGCCCGATTCAGATAATCCGGGGATAATCGGGTCAGAGTTGAGGTCATCAATCCCACCGTTGCCCTCTTCGATATCAAATTTCACATCATTACCACCTGCAATTTCCTCCTTTGAAGCCATAGTCGTCAATTTCACATCGCGAGTGTCCAAAACCCTAGGCTTTGCAGCTGAATCACGGTCCGTCTGGAGGCCAGGGATCGAATCGGCGGAACTCGAAGCTAGGTTTCGGGCGTGGGGATTGGGATGGGAAACTCCATAGAGGATGTCGTTGGGGTCAGATTGGAAGTTGAGATCGATCGGGCGGTGGAGTGGGGCGGGTAAAACAGAGGGCTGGTGCGGCAGCGGAGCAGAAGCCGACGAGATTGGGCGGAGGACGTCGGTGTAGAGATCTCCGAACTCATCGTCGTCTTCCATGGGATAGAATTTTGGAGAGAAGAAGAGAGAATGTCCAGAGTTAGGAAAGGGTTTTGAGTTACGTTAGTTTAATTTAATACGTGAGATTTTTCAGTTTTTACATTTCCTTTCTTCATTCGGACTTTTATTATGTACATTAATTAATTAGTTTTTTCTTTTCTTTTTTACCAGTAACAAAAAATTATATTATTAAATTTTGATTAATTTAGATAGTAATTGATTTAGATTTAATAAGAGATAGCTCTTTATAACTCTTATTTCTTTTTACAAAATTTGAAATTAAAATTTTATTCTAAAAATTTAAATTTTTTTACTCAAATCACTAAGTTATTGATATTAATTAATTTATATAGAAAAATAAAAAAGTAACTTTAATTTTAACATTCTTGTACAATTAAAGTTTTACTTGTAGTGTTGTGATATTGTTGATAAAAATGAGGGTAATTTTTATTTTTCAGAATAATTAATTTAAGAATAAAATAAATTTATCATTAACATAAGTTAAACAAACTCTTTTATAGATTTTTTAATATGTGTTTTAAGAATACAAGTTAAACTTATTTTTTCATTATAAATTCATAAATGTTAACATTAATTTTAGTATCATTATTACATGAATTAATTTAATTGAATAATTTATAA